GTAGTATGGCCGTAGACATGTGGATGATATTTCCACTCATAGTTAATCTCGGCATATAGCATAATTATCCAATCGTGAAGCTCTATGATTGATGACGTTTCATATCAACGCGCGCTTGTCTGGCGGGGATTTCCTCTAACTCCTCTGACCACTCTGCTGCGCGAGTACATTTTTTACAAACTCCGGTGTTGAACAATAAACCAACCATTTTACTACGGCACTAACTAGGATGCTTTAGACAGAAGACTGCCTTTTTGTTCAAACGACCCTCGAAACGGCCTAACACCAACGAATTAATTGCGTATTGTTGATAAGAACATATTGTACCTGTATGATTAAAGTATGAGAGTGCAATTTCCGGGCACTTAGAGGTCCATACTGTATTCTCAAAATGTTTCCACCTCAGCCCCATTTATGTGGGCCCGAGGTCGTGTGGACTCTCACGCACCCCTACTTTAGAATTTGGGGGAAAAATGTAAAAAGTCTACAACACCCGGTATTCCCAGGCGGTCACCCATCCAAGTACTAACCGGGCCCGACGTTGCTTAAATTCGGTGATCGGACGAGGACCGGTGTTTTCAACTTAGTATGGCCGTAGACATGTGAGTAGTATTTCCACTCATAGTTAATCTCAGCATATAGCATAATTATCCAATCCTGAAGTTCTGTGATTGATGACGTTTCATATCAACGCGCGCTTGTCTGGCGGGGATTTCCTCTAACTCTCATGACCACTCTGCTGCGCGAGTACATTTTTTACAAACACCGGTGTTGAACAATAAACCAACCATTTTACTACCGTACGGCACTAACTAGGATACTTCAGACAGAAGAAGACTGCCGTTTAATTCAAACGACCCTCGAATCATAGTACCTGTATGATTTTTAAGGCATAAGAGTGCGATTTCCAGGCACTTCAAGAGGTCCATATTCTCAAAATGTTTGCATCTGAGCCTCAACTATGGTGGGCCTGAGGTCTTGTGGACTCTCACGCACTCTTACCGCCAAATCGTGCATCCGCCCCAATCAGTAGGCTAGAATATCGCATATGTTTTCATTACATTTGTTAAGACACCGCCCGAACACTGTATTATAAGGCTACACCATACACTTGTTGTGGCCCTACTGCTCAGTGCAAGGCCCAGGTCCTTTTTCTTTTAGTGAAAAGTTGACAATTATAACGTGCCAAAATACCGTACATAATGAAACTGTTAAGAGAAAAAAAATAATGAAAAAGAAAAACATCTTTAACGAACAATAAGTAAACATCAATCGATTTGGGGGAGAAAATGTAAAAAGTCTACAGCACCCGGTATTCCCAGGCGGTCACCCATCCAAGTACTAACCGGGCCCGACGTTGCTTAAATTCGGTGATCGGACGAGAAACGGTGTTTTCAACGTAGTATGGCCGTAGACATGTGGATGATATTTCCACTCATAGTTAATCTCGGCATATAGCATAATTATCCAATCATGAAGCTCTATGATTGATGACGTTTCATATTAACGCGCGCTTGTCTGGCGAGGATTTCCTCTGACTCCCCTGACCACTCTGCTGCGCGAGAACATTTTTTTACAAACACCGGTGTTGAACAATAAACCAACCATTTTACTACGGCACTAACTACGATGCTTTAGACAGAAGAAGACTGCCGTTTTGTTCAAACGACCCTCGAACCGGCCTAACACCAGCGAATTAATTGCGTATTGTTGATATGAACACATAGTACCTGTATGATTTTTAATGTATGAGAGTGCAATTTCCGGGCACTTAGAGGTCCATATTCTCCAAAATGTTTGCACCTCAGCCTCAACTATGTGGGCCCTAGGTCGTGTGGACTCTCACGCACCCCTACTTTAGAATTTGTGGGGGAAAATGTAAAAAATCTACAGCACCCAGTATTCCCAGGCGGTCACCCATCCAAGTACTAACCGGGCCCGACGTTGCTTAAATTCGGTGATCGGACGAGAACCGGTGTTTTCAACGTAGTATGGCCGTAGACATGTGAGTGGTATTTCCACTCAT